ACGCATCATTCTGTGACTGGCCTCGAGCTGACAGCGAAAGACCAAACTTTCAGGGAAAGGGCGGAGCCTGTGCGAAGCACACAATCAAAAAACTGGGATTGGTGAACAGTTACGTGCTGGCTGCATGATACTCAAATTTGGCAAAGACGTCGTGGTTGGAAATGGGCGATCAGCACGATGACAACGGCTTCATTCCAATGATCCGTCGTACACTAGGCATCTTGACTGAGAGCTATCGAAAGCATGAAAAGCTCAGCCCGCACAACTCGATTCAACGGCAAACAGCACATATCCCCGCGGAGCTTGCGCGTCCATGTCCGAGATTAATGAAAACACACCTGCCGCAGCAACATGAATGAATCAATGTCTAACTTCCACGTATCCCCCAGAGAGCCCAACATCAAATCGATAAGTCGGTTCGGTGATCGAACTGGATGGGATCGGCGGAGATCGTCAGCCGAGTCGGGAATAGTCGAATCGGCAGGATCATAGGCTTGAGACGTCGGAGCCCCAATCGGAATCCCCAGTCGGATCGAATCGGAATCGGGCGCCATCGAAATCGAATCGAATCGAATCGGAAGAGTCGACATGGTCCCTGTCCAGTTCCATGCCCGGCTCGTTGTGCATGTTCGCGTCCATGAGCTGCGTGCCCACTTGATGCATGCGCGCCGCATGTTTCCATTGCGCGCCGTCGGGAGATCGGATGCCGTCCGGCGACTGCATCGCCGGGGCTTGGGATTTCTACCAGCCCAGCTTCATGGCATAACGCTTGTCTGCATCAGCCACTGCAGCGAATAATTACTTACGTCACGTACGCGCTGGAGTCTCCTAACAAAGAGTGCTGTCGACGTACGCACAGCCGGACCACTCGTCCAGAATGGAAAGGAGGACGACGAGGAGGGAGGAGGAGGAGGAGGAGGAGGAGGAGGAGGAGGAGGAGGAAAAGGGGGGAAAGAGGAGGAGAAGGATGAGGAGGAATGGGGAGGAGCGCCACCAACCCTCTGGGCGTGAAGGGTTTGGAACATTTCCTCTTCCATATTCCCCTCCGCCCTTTTCGGGGAAGGGTTTACAACTGTTCCCTACTAGTCTGCACCCCCTCCCTCACCCGACTGGCGACAAATCTGGGGCGGCCCCCCCGCCATCCCTGCCCGTCCCTCCCCCCCCAAAAATACACATTGCGGCAAGTGGGCACCTTGCATTCGTTTCTGACATAGACATACGACACGGTGCGCAAAAAACTGGACCGCGCGCGGGCGCCCCATCATCACTTTGCAATATCCTCGCCGAACCCGAAATAGCGGCGCAATGGCGGAGAAAAAGGGTCGGACGTGACGGTGATACCCCTTTTTCGGGTGGCGGTCAGGGGGGCCCTGGCTCAGGGCCCTTGTCGCTCCAACGAACATGATGCCACAAAGTAGTGGGTGGGTTGTTGTGAAACGGCCAGGCGCCTGGGCACAAAGTTGCGTCAGACGTCGGGAGGTTGAGGATTATACACTAATGTGTTTGCACACCGAGGCGTATCCTCGATGAACCCTACCAGCGGTACGATGGCGCAATCAAGGGGGAGGAGGTGACGGTGATGCTCCTTTTTCGGGCGGCGGCTCCGGGGGCCCTGGCTCAGGGCCCCTGCCACTCCAAGAAAATAGAAGCCCACCACACACGATGGGGATTAGACACCAAGACAGGAAGGAAAATACAGACCCAGAGGTGAGTGAAGGATTCCAAGGCACACTCTGGACGCGGCGAGCGGCGATGCCCACCCACCTTCTCACCTCTCTACGTCTTCCCCTTTTCGCGGCACCGTCGCCGCACTCGCCACCGCGTGTGCACAGAGGCTGAGCGGCGCGGCCTCGAAGCCCTGCCCATCCTCCATCAGGCCCTGTGCGGTCGAGGCCCCCCCTTCCGCGCTGGACCCCCGCCCCCGCCCGCGGCAGAATAGCGGGGGCCCCCCCAAGACAGGAAGGGCGCCCTCGCCGCGGAGGAGCCCGCCGGAAGGGGGGGCATCAAGACCATCCCGAGGGCGCGCCAAGCAACCCCTCGGAGCCCCTCCCTGCTCGGAGGGCAGCCGCCGAGTCTCGGCAGGGACGCGTCACAAGGCTGGCGGTCGACAGCCTCCGAGCGGGGATGTATTCCGAGCGGGCGTCGGACGGAGCCGCTGCCGCGGCATGAGGCGCCGCAGAAGGCGCGGCCCCCGGGGCCGCCTCGCACCGCGGCCGTTCCCCTGGCCGCCCCTCTCTCTCCTCGGCGATGTTACCATGGAGCTTCTGGGGGCCTATGTCCCGCTCGCTCGCGCTGCTGAAGACGTCCGCCACCTGAGGCATGCCCGTTAGTGGAGCTTTCACGTCGCCAAGCCGCGCGGCGGCCAGCGCTCCCGCGAGCGCGAAGACGCGGCCCCCGTTCCGAAGGGCCGCATGGAGCCCCGCCGCTACCGGCGCCCCCCTCCGCGGGCTACCCCCCGGTTCTCCCGCCAGCGCGCGGGCATGGCCCCCGTCCAGCAGGGTCGCGTGGAACCCCGCCGCTGCTGGCGCCATCCTCGGCAGGCTGCCTCCTAGCCCCCACTCCCCCGCCGGCGCGCGAGCGCGTCCGAGCGAAGCTCCCTGTGCTCTCGCCCTCGAGCTTGTTTGGCGTCTCGAGCACTTGTTCTCCGCCCAGTCGCCAGTCGACCCCCGCCAGCGCGAGCTTGGCCGCCCACGGCCAATGGGCCCTCTTCTTGCCGGGTCTGTCGACGCTGAAGGACGAGGCGCACGCGGGCCCCAGGTGGGGTCTTTCCCCAGCGAGGCCGTCTCCGCGACGCCCAGGCGCCCCTGCCCAGCCGCCGTTCCGCGTTGGTGGAAGGCGCCGCGCTCGACCATCTCCTGCGCCAGTCGGCCGACCGGGCCGCCGAGTCGGCAGACTCGGCCGACTGGAGGTGCATATGGCGCAGGTGGCGCAGTCGCACCAGCAAGAGCCAGCCTCCTTCGAGGCCGCCCCGCGCCCTGGCCCCCCGCCCCGGGAAGCCGAAGCTTCCAGCGAGGGCGACCCCGATGAGCGCAGCCCGCCACCTCCTGCGCCGCTCCGAGACGATCGCCTCCGGGTCGTCGGCACCGGGCGAGCCGCCCCGAAGGGGGCGCGCGCGGCCCGGCAGGCGGAGGCTCGCTCCCCGAGGCGCTGGAGATGCCCAAGGTGCCGACGGCGTTGCCGTGGATCTCGCCCTCGAGCTCGCTGGCACGGCGTGCCCCACTCGTCCTCGCGAACCTTGGTGAGCCGACGCGCGCCCGTGGCGTCGGTGACGAGCGAGAGAAGGCCCGCGTGCCAGCCCCTGTAGCGGCCTGGTACGGATGATTCTCCCGCTGGCCTCCGCGCCCCCCTGCGCTTCCCGAGTCGGTTTCGATGGTTCACCGCGAAGTCGCGCGCGCCAGCACGCCCGAGTCGCCTCTTGCCGCTTGCGCCCTCCAGGGCCACAAATGCTGCCATGGAGTGGTTGCCGTGGAAACGACGGCGCAGCTGCTACTGGCACGTCTCGGCAGCGCTGCCCGACTTCCCCTTCGCCCGCGAGGCGTTCCCCAGGAGAGTCGCTCTGGTCCTCTGCGCTCGTGGATGCCACGATAATGGGCACCCTATAACAGTCCTACCCTTGAATCTAAAATGCGTTTAAAATGTCGGAAGATGTTCTGAACACGTTGCATGCGTTTACATGCTTAAAGCATGTTTGACACATGTTTTGACATCTGGAAATTGTGCGGCAACACGCTTCCTCTCCATCGATTGTCCGCTTCTGGGGCGGCCCAGCGGGCCGCCCCCTGGCCTGGGCGCACGGCCAGAGGGGGCGACGAGCCGGCGTGCGGCCCGGGGGCCCCCGTCTCGGAGGGTCGCGTGGCGCTCCTCCGCTGCTCGCGCCCGCGCCCGCCTTGGGGGTCGAGCGGCTGCGCCGCCACCTCGCGCGGCAGGCCCTCCGCGGCTGCCCAGCCGCCCGTGGCCTGTGCGAGTTGGCAGTTCGGCGCGGCAGCCGAGAAGGCAAAGCTTCAAGGGCGAGAGGTCAGAGAACGAGAGAGGGGCACGCTCAAGCCTCTTTGGCGCGGCAGCGCGCCGAGCCCCCTCTTTCTTCGAAGGGAGGAGGGGCCCGTCGGGTTCCACAGGCGCGGCTGCCATGTTGCCGGCTGCGCTGCTCGCGGCCCCCGCAATGGCCGCCGCGCTGCGCTGGGGCTCCCGCGCTGCCGCCGCCTCCGCCCCGCGGCCAGCGCCACCCTGGTGCCAGGCCCCTGGCCGCCGCCCGCGCGGGCCGCCGCAGGACCTCGGACGCACAGAGCGCCCGCGGCGCCCGACCTGGACGCCACGCCCATCTTGGTGTGGGAGACTGCCACCACGAAGAGGGACTACACGTATGACGACGTTGACCATCAGGGGGCTTCAAGAGGCTCGACGACGCGGTCTCCCTGGTGGCCACCCCAGAGACCTTGAGGGACCAACAGCTGCTATACTCGCGCGGGGAGTCGAGCAGGCGTTGGAATCCTACAGGGAGGCATCACCGCCGTCAGAGGCGACACCACCGCCCCCCGCGGCCACACCGCCGCCGGGAGCCACCGATGAGTACTACGTGAGACACGGGTACTCCTACGTCCCACGAGGACGAGCCCGCGACCCCCGCGCCGCGGATCGGGGTCCGCCGCGACGGCAGCCTGGGCGGCCTCACCATCGAAGACGGGGGGGGGCGACGCCGACGAGGACGACGTGGAGGAGGGGAGCTTCGAGGAGAAGCCGCCCGGCGTCGGCCCCCTCGCCCTGGCGCGCGCGGCCGCCAGGTGGTGCACGGTCAGCCTGGCGAGCCCCGCCCCGCCGCCGGCGCCCGCCGCCGCCGCCCGGGCCTGGCGGGCGCCCGGCGCGCCGCGGGCCTCTTAAGGGTCGCGCGACAGCCGCCTAACCCGACGGCAGGCCTCCTCGGACCCCCCCCTTCGCCAGGCCTGGACTATCGCACTCGAGGGGTGCGCTCGGATCGTGTGGTCCGCGGTTCTGGCCACCCCGGGATGCCTGCGTCCCGCGGTCGGGGGTCGTGGGTAGCGTGAGCCCTCGATTGCGGTGGACACGCTCACCTTCGGCCCACTCCGGGCCTGCGCTGCATGGCGCCGCAGCCGCCGCCCGGGCCCCCTGGGCCCGCCGCCGCCCCCGCCGCAGGATCTGGTTGGCCCCGGGCCCTTTGCGGCCCGTGGACAACGCGAGGTGCAGCGAGATCCGGGCTCGCCGCGCCACCGGCCACCCGCGGCACCTCGTTCTCGCCATGAAGGGCCAGGCGGCCAGGGTCAGCAGAGGACCGCGAGCAGGGCCACTGGCACGAGCATCTGCGACTACGAGACATTCTGGGGGTCCATTTCGGGGCGTTCACGCCGCTACCTGGAGGACGCCCCGACGAAGAAGCTGCACTTGTGCCGCGAATCGCCTTGCTGGGACCTGGGCGACTACGCCCTGCACCGGGCCACCTACAGCCCCATCGACGCCGACGACTTGGTCGAGCTGGGATAACTCGCCGAGCCGGAGATGGGCCGAGGCCAGCCAACAGCTCGGCTCTGTGGCACGTGGCGCATACCGCTTCTTGGGTGCCGCTGGGTGGCTGCTGGGAGTCTGCGGCTGCAGGTGCCTGGCCTGCGGCTGTGGCTGCGCTGGGCGCCAGGGCGCACGCTGCTTCAGACGGCTCTGCAGCTCCCGCCGGCAATGGCCGCCGCCGCCACCTGAGCTCACCGCGCATGGAGACTTCTCGGAACCAGAGGAGCGCAAGTGCTGCGCGGACCAAATCCTCGACGACTGCGACGGGCAAGTGCAGCAGCTGGCGCCAGGCAAGTGCCCGGACAAATCTTCACGAGACGCTGTCCCACTGCTGGCGGAGAATGCCGACCTGTCGAGCATACGGGAGCCGCCTAAGGCGCCGGATGCCCGCTTCTGCCACGGCAACGCGTGTCGGTACCGCGCCACACGCTTGCAAAAGCTCTGTTCGCGGGTCGGCTGCCCCCGCCACGGAGACGTCGTCGCCAATGGCACGCGCTACTGCGTTGACCACGCCGCCGCGGCCCTGGGCCAGGCTCAGGGTCCGCCGATGCCGCCCCCGGCCGAACCCACCCCGGGGCTCGGCGCGCGCGGCCAGCGACTCGGGGCCGGAGCCTCTCCCCAGGGCGCCGCGGCCTGGGATCTGCGGCCGCCGAGCAGCGACATCCACCCCCTCGCGGCGGAGCAGGGCATCAACTACCTGGCGCTGCTTGCGAGCGTGGACGACGAGACGATCTACCACGCGTTCCGCGCCGCACCCGTCGCAGCCCGTCGCAGCCCCGGCTGGGACAGCTGGCGGATCGCGGCCCTCGACTGGAACGTGGAGGTTCCGCGCGAGGTGAGCCCGCTCACCGGCAGCCGCCTCGCCGCGGAGGCCCGCGCCGCGGGCGCCCCGCTGCTCATCGCGCCCACCAACGCAGATCGTGTCCCACAGGGGGTAGCCGCGGATGGCCACAGCATGGGCCTGGCCGGGATCACCCACCTTCAGATGCAGCGGCGGCTGGGGCGGCTGGAGCACGCCTCGGCGAGCGCCACCGTGGAGGCACCTGCCGACGATGAGGCCGTCGAGGACGGAGGCCACAGCGAACCACTCGGCGAGCCAGCGCCGCCGGGGCCATCGGCGGACAGGGCGCTGGGGGGCACGCCGCAGAGCGGCAGCAGCGGCCCCGGGGCGCGTCGCCCCGCGGAGCGGGGCGAGCCGCCGAGCACTGACGGCCGGATCGACCTGCTCCGAGATCGCCAGCCGGAGCCCGAAGTTCTGGACCGAGACGCCCTGCGAGCCATCCTCACGGACGAGGCTCGCCGCCGACTGCCAGGGCCGGCCGCCCTTGCCGAGGAGCTCCCGGAGGAGAGGCGCCATGCAGAGCACGGACATCGGCGCCGCGGGGCAGCCCCAGTAGTACAAGCACGGCTTCGACGACCTGGGAGCAGCGGCCGGCGCGATCGCGGACGCGCTGCTGTACCTGGCGGGCCCGGAGAGCCCCGCGCCTCTCCCCGATGCAGAGGCCAGGGCGCTGCGCGTCATCGTGCGCCCCCTTTGGGAGCGGCAGGCGCCCGCTGCCCCGCCCGCGCCCGCCGATGGCGCAGCCCACCGGCGACCCAGGACGCCCAGCCCGAGCACCCTCCTCCCCCTCATCCTCCCGGTCCTCCACCTCCCTCCGCACCCATTCCCCCTCTGCCTCCCCCTCCTTCTCCTCCTCTTCCTCCTCCCCCTTAGCCTCCGATTCCTCCAGCATCCTCCCCCTCTTGGGGCACGAAGGCTTCCCCGGCCCCCGATTCCACTGCATGCTCCTCCACATTCCTGTTCAGGGCAGCTCGCCTGGGCACCGTTTCTGGCTGGGCGAGTGGGGTTACGCGAAGCGTCCAGAATTGGGAGAGGAGCTCGGATCTAGGTGGAGGGCGCAACCTCTGCCCTCAGCCAACACCCGGGCCTGCCCCCTGGGAATCGCGGCGCGCGTTGGGCACCTGCAGGCCTTGCTGCCTGGGCCGGTCCCGCTGCCCGTGCTCGCTGGTGTCAGCGATGCCGCACTGGAAAGTCGCAGAGTGCGCTTCTGAAGCTTCACTGGCCCACTCGGCCCTTGTATTTGGCTCACGTACGCCGTGTTTGCGCCCCTCTCTGAAGGGTCCTGGTGCTGAACGGATGACAGAAATCGCTTCAAATGATAATGAGAGGCTCACGCTACCTGATCCAACCAAAGCCTTTCAGACATTCCAGTTGACAAGCATCCCTTGTCATTGAGCCTCTGTATCAACAGTTGCCCTCTATAGACCGCACTACAGAAACGATGTGCCTGCACAGCCAGCCAAGTGTCATCACACTATGGCTGGATCCCATCTAATGACAACAGAGGGTCATGGACCCATGCGTAGACTGGGCATCACTGGACGACACTGGTGCACCCATTCCTCGGGAACAACTTACCCCCCCGCGAGACGCAACTACGCCAAGGAGGTAGAACAACAAACAGCACAAGCAACGGGGGACATTACGGGAAGGATATGAAGGAGCCGGAAAAAAAGGAGCGAGCAGCCAGGAGTGAGGAGGGGCCTCTTGCTGCCACGGGCCACACCAGCTGAGCGCGTCTGCGCTGAAAGGAGGAGGGGGTCAACTCATACGCTTTCCCTGGACACCCCGAGTCTCACCTCTGGGATGTAGACGGGCGAGGTAAGGGGCATCTTGGCCTGACTTCTGGTCCCAGAATCCCCGAGACAACCACAGCTTTCCCCTTGACGACGGCGGCCTCTGGAGGGAGGCTCCTGGAGGTCCGAGCAGGTCCCAGAAGGCATCGGAGGAAGAGATCCCTCCCCTCCCCTCCCCTCCCCTCCCCTCCCCCCTCTCCCCTCCCCTCCCCTCCCTTCCGCGGCGCAACGCGATCGCCACACGAGCCAGCGAGGCCCTCCCCCCCCCCTTCAAGACTCACCCAGGCGGCCCGGCGCGGACCTCCGCAGCCCGGCGGAGGCCCTGGGCGCCCGAAAACGGCACGGGGGGGGGGTGAGGGGGGACCGCCCCGTGATGGACAGATCGGAGGCATCGGGGATGGACAGACCTCCCCCTGGTAAAACGTGGCTTGGTGGACAACGACCTGGGGCCGAACACCTGGCGGGCGCAGGCCTGGAAAATGACGGCCGCGGCGCCGTCTCGAGAACCGAACACGGACAATGCACTCATCGACGCGGTCACTGTTGGGGGTCCTGTCCACCCCCGGCGGTATAGGCCCCCGAATGCACAACCGCAAGCTCCTGGGCGGGGTGGGCTGCTGTGGTGAACTTGGGTGGTTGTAAGATTTAGCAGACTTAGCAAGTTGGTTTCGGAACTTACAAGTTGCGCTAACTGAGCGCAAGTAGTTGCAAGTACTTGCATGTTGACGTGCAGCCACTGCATTTTTAGCTCCCGAATTGTTGTTTTTTCTATAAGCGATGCGCAAGGCGAGCGACACCTGCATTGGAAAGCAATGTTTTTTGTTTTGCGCTGCTGCGCATAAGCAAGCAGGTAGCAGCTCACGCGATGTCTCACCACTTGAACATGGGAGGCACTATCGCGATTGATCCGCCTCCATGGCGCCTGCATGCCTTGCAAGTCTTCGAACCTTTCTAGCCAACCACAACGGACGTCCCGCATCGCAAATGTCCACCATGCATTTTTCACAATTGCACGTGTGCAAAGCGGACAGTTGCTTGCAGACGGCACGCCCGTACAGTGGTGGTGATGGTTCGGAAACTTGGCAAACGCCCCGCCATGGCAGTGATGATGTCGGTCGCGTGCACCAGCTGCAAGTCGTCGTCGGTCGGGTGCACGGTCAGCACGCCGAGCCGATCATCGTAGCAAGGGGTGTCCCAGATTGAAACCAGCGATACCATCGTTCCGTTTACAGCAGCGTGAAACCAAACCTCCCCACACGCCTTGCCACCATTGGCAACGGAGAGCAGCACGATGTCGCGGGATTGGCATGTCGACAACGTCGACACCCGAGCCGAAAGAGCCGTGGTCGTGCTGTCCCTGGGGAGGCGCTGGCCGAGCTTCTCCTCCAGGAAGGCGTGCATCTTCTTAGGTGCCGCCCTGGGACACACCAAGTGCGGCGAGAAGTCGAACACGTTGGTGCTGCGCAAATTTGCCAACTGCAGGCATGTGACCTCGGACAGCACACTCCTCTCAGAAGCTGCCAGCTGGCGCATATCATTGCAGAACCGCTTGGGCACTCTGTGCTTTCTCTCGTGCACAAAACACGACATGAGGCATCCGAACTTGATCAGGTGCCTTGGGAAATGGACCAGCCAGTGAAACTTCGGTGTCATGTATTCCTGCCACCCTGCTGCTTCACAAGCATCCAGAAACGCGTTCGTCCTGTTCCTGAGAGCGTCAGCAGACGCACGGGATGATGCTGCAGCTTCGATGCACCACACCAAATCACACAAACGAACAAAAGCGGTGCACTCCGCGCGTGCTACCCCTGCAGGCAATATAACCGTCATCACATACGTATACATCATTGGCAGCAAAGTCAATGCCTCACTCGCCTGGCACTTAAACGCTTTCGCCTTGCCGTTGGAAGTATCGCGGCCCTTCTGAAAAAGCTTAGCCAAGTTATCAGCGCTGCCGTGCGCGATGGGCAGTGACCACATCTTGATGTATTCCTCGAAACGTGAGTATACGTTGGACAACCCATTATTCTTACAACCTGCAAGAAAGAGATGCGTCGAAATGTTAAAAACACCTCGAATAAAGAATGCGTGCATCCAGTCGTGGCAATACTGGTCAACAGGTAAGATAATGCGATCCAGCTGTGGATCGAGCAGCATGTTCTGCTCATTATGGTTGAAACCGAACGCTTGCTCGCGGATCCTGGGGCCACACTCGTCATCCTCGCATTCCCCTTCCAATCCCCCTCCCCTTCATCATCTTCCCACCCTTCATCATCCTATAGGTCATTCTCCCTCCTTTGAGTTTGCAGGCCCCCCGCAGGTCTTGAAATTGGCGTTGGTGTCCGTCGCGTGGAATGCAGCCAGCCGCCGCACGCTCCCCCTGATGTCATCATTCGTCGCAAAATCGATGTCACCCTCACGCATGACGTCTGCTCTCAGCAGGGTCACCCCATCTTCGTCGACCAGGGAGCTGTCCATCGCAATTACATTGCGGCAAAGCATGCAGCATTTGGTACCTGCATCTCCTTTAATCAGCCAAACCAACTTCTGGGCACCGCCGTCCTGGAGAACCATCCCAAGTTTGCAATGTAACCTGACTCCAGGCTCCAATGAAACGCCCGTTGTGTGCAGTGAGCAATCCGACCTACAAAACATGTCTTTTATAAGCATTTTGAATGCCTGTGCGACGCCTGCATCTATATCGGATACACGTTTTGACCTCAGGGCACCTACGCAGAACCACGCATCCTCTTGCGACAACACTTCTGGCCCCAGTTCTAGAAACGATACGTAGAACATCCACATCTTCCTTGAATTGTCTGGGGATAGTTGGTTGCCTGGTGTTACCTCGTCAGAATAAAATATCAACGACCACGGTCGCTCGAAAGAGCACGGCCTCGCCGCGAAAGTCTTGTGAATGAGGGCCCGCCAGTTGCTGCATTGGTTGCACGCCACGTACAATATTGCAGGGAGATTGGCAACAGGAAACTTAATCTCTGAATCTTTGGCAGAGCAAGTGATTTCACGGAACAAGGTGCCATAAGGAGTCGACTGGTTTATGACCGAATCTCTAGCATCACGGATATCCTTCCGTGATGCTGAGAAGGGTTCCCACGTGACCTCGCCCAAGATTGCAGCCAGTGCAGCAGCAGATACATGCGGACATTTCCGCCTCAAGGATTCTATCTTCTGGTACTTGTCAGGTTTGGGCACCATGAGCAGCGCAACCGCGAGCCCGCCCTCGAGCTATATACGGCAACTGCGCGCATGGGGGTTGGCGCGCCGATGGCGCATAGAAGCGCATGCGTTTGCATAGGAAATATGGGGGGGGCTGAAACAGATGCGACTCATCATTTGAAAAGAATGCTTGCACCACGGGCGCAGTCACCGTTGCAGACACCTGCACGCACCACTTCACCGAGCACATCAAGGATTGCATGGCAACAGCGTGCGCATGGCATGCGCAATCACCTGCGCCTCTGAACGCATGTCCTGCAATCGGGCGCGCGTGCTTGCACGCATCTGTGAATGCAGAGATCCTGCAGTTGCAGCTGAGTGCGCTCATGCAATCAAAACTGCAATCAATATTGCAGAGGGCACATGTGTGCTGCCTGAATTGCACATGCAGTCATAACTGCATCGGCTGTTCGTGCGCCC